AGGAATTCAATTTTGTTATTGAAAGTCAAGGAAATGTAGCTATCCATGTAGCTATTCATGTCACCAGTATTAAATATAATTGCCATCTCTTCTTTCAATATTTAACATTACAAGATCTCACATAAGCAAACGAATTGTTATTATAATATAAATTAGCATGATTTAGATTTTTTATCATCATCTGAACTCAGTGATATCCTGTGATATCACTCAGTAATATCAATAATTTTAGATTATTGAAAAGAATTCACCTACCCAAATTTTTGCTGGAAACAGTGAACATGTGTTTAACAAATCAGCCTGAATCAGTATTTTCATTACTTACTCAAGAAAACAGGCTCCAAGACAGCTGATTGGAAAACACTCATATTTTGTAGAAATATGTATATATATACATATGTAGAAGTAAATTTATATAAATTGCTAGAATTAAAAGTAGAGGCTTTAAAATGTAATAATGAGGCTATGAAAAGCTACCTTTGAGGAGCTGAAATTTTAAAGGCACTCTTTAAAATAATAAAAATTTAAGGAATTAGAGGCTGGGTGCTGGTAGCTCACACCTGTTAGCTACTCAGGAGGCTGAGATCTGAGGATCTCGGTTCAAAGCCAGCTTGGACAGGAAAGTCCATGAGATTCTTATCTCCAATTAACCACTAGAAAAACAGAAGTGGCGCCGTGGCTCAAGTTGTAGAGTTCTCTCTCCTTTAACTTAAGAAGGAAGGAAGGAAGGAAGGAAGGAAGGAAGGAAGGAAGGAAGGAAGGAAGGAAGGAAGGAAGGGAGGAAGGGAGGGAGGGAGGGAGGAAGGGAGAGAAAAAAGAAAGAAATTAGAAAGTGCTAACCTTCCAAAATGTGCAAGGATTCTTCTCAAATATGTGGATATTTTTTCCCTGTAATCTAGATCAGACTATTACAATTACACCAAGAAAGATAAGCGATTTTCCCAGTTACACATAAATACCTTTGTTTCTAGATTTTAGTTTCAATTCTTTTTCCACTCAAAACAAAAGCATAAGCTGTCCATTAAGGGAAAAAAAGAGAACACTGGGGTTATACAAGACAGCTGCTTCTAATCATCATGTCTATTGATATACAGTTAGAAATTCATCTCTCTAAAGGAGAAGAATCAATATTTATAGAATAGCTAGATTTCAAATGTATGGTATTATGACTGTACTGCATCTTAACTCAAGCATCTTACTTGTGAGCAGCAGGCAAATCTGTTGCTGGTGATAATGGGGTGTACTGTGAAGACTGATTTCTGCTTATATCAATTCATTTCAAAGGATTTTCTGGGCCAATCAGAGTGGCTAAGCCTGAAACAGACCAATTACTATTAAATATTGCCTTAGGCTTTAAGGGCCTACTGAGCTTTAAAATTCCATGATTCTACATCTTTAGAAAGACATCCAAATACATATTAGAATATATTATCTAACTCTTTCAAAGTGCTTCTCTTCTCCATTTATATATCTATTGAGGAGACATAATCAGCCATTGTCAATTCTTTCAATGCTGTCAAATGACAAATGGCTGTAGGCCAAGACAATTATGACACATACTGAATATAAAATAATGTCACATAACAGTAATTCACACATGTAGCTATTCATTAATCCCATTTTAAACTTTCTATAAATTGAAGGTTATAAGAAATATTAAAATCAATAAATGTAGAAGTAACCTTATTTTATGTTTGTGAACTTCTGTATTATGCTGCTTCATTAGACAGTTTTATTATCTGCCTTAATTATGCTTTTAAACTTTTGTAATTAGCCCCAGAGGGTAAGATTATATTACTGTGAATACTTACAATTATTTAAAAATAATAAAAACTTAAGCACACAGGTAAGCCAATTGAACTTTGTTCTTGATGGCAAACTCAGAAGAGTGATATTCTAGTCCTACAGAGATCTTCACCTCTCTTTACAGTGGATCTTTAACAAGAGGATGAATTAGATACAAAGGTATCCCTTGGAAGATTCCCCAAGATAGATAGACATCAGCACAGGCCCAGAGTTCAGGTCCCACGACAGACAAAAAAAGAAAAAAAGTATAAATCTCCTCACAAAATATGCTGGATAATCATATATACAGAAGTGCATCTAAAAAGAATGACGATTTCCCTAACCATATCTTACTAGAGAATTCAATACAGACCTGAATTTTTCATAAATATTCATGGTTATTTCATGCCACATAAATAATGGTTAAAATTTTATCATAAAATGACAGATTTCTGACTTTAGGAATAAAGCCAAGTTAATGTGTTTTTAAGTGACTTGAAACTTGCCTAGGGCTAGAATTGCTTTGGGTACCTAGCTCTTGTTTCTGGCCTACTTTTCTTCTTTTTCTACTGAGAAGTGATTGATAATTTGTGTATTTGTTTTCCTCCTTTGCTCCCTGGCTTAGCAAACTTATTCCAGTATATTCAGTAAGGCATTCGGCATATTCTCTAAAGGTCTGCATTTTTCCAAAATATCTTCTTAGATTTAAATAAATCTGTTAAATAATCAATAATCTTCCAAGGGTTATTCAGTGTAGAAATTATAATCCCAGAATATAAATAATATATCTTTCTAAGCAACAAAAAAGTCATTAGTTCCAAAACAATTTTATCTTTAGACTCTAAATGTAGTCATTTCAATATAACAGGAGAACTGATTCTGCCTTTTTTCCTTTTTTATTCAGTAAAAATTATAAAGTGTGTAATTTGGAATAAGGGAAGCACAGTTTATGCCAATAGGACATTTAAAAACTACTCTCCTAATTCAATGCAAAATAAATCAAAAGGCCTTAAAAAGAAGGCTGGAATCAAAGTCTTTTTAACTTTTTCTTCCATCCTGGCCCTTTTGGTCACTTCTCAGGGACAAACTTTCTACCAATTCATCTGTACCACTCATAATTTGGATCTGTCAAAGGTAAAACAAATACCTCTGGTCTCTTACCTGAACCTTAATGAATTAAGCTAATAATGCAGAAAGACTGAATTATATATGTCAACACCACACTTATTGTTACACACAGACCTTTGTTACATAATTTTAACCTTGTATCTTAATCCCATAGTCAGGTAAATCTGTTTCATATTCCTGTTTTGCAGATCCAATATAGTTTGTCCTAGGCCATTGCACAGTCTCAAATTTCCTTCAATTCCCTAAAAATCATTTCCTGTCATACTGATAGTTTCTGTTCTATATTCCTTCTATACTGTACAGAAACACAGGTTGGCTTAGAGCGTAATCTCATCTTAAGTTTATCCCACATGCTGCAAATTTTTCTTTTGCATGTTAATAAATATGCATGTATGTTTTTCTCCTATTTGTCCTTTGTCAGCTTATTCTAGGGTAACTTCAGGGACCTGAGAAGAAATCTTTCTTTGTCCCTAACATAAGGTCACATTTTCACAAATAGTCACAGTGAATGACATTATATATGTCTTCATGGTTTCAGTTATTCTTAATAACCCACTCTTCTTCCTGAAAGTAAGTTGAACATGATTGCACAGAAGACTTTCTTCTCTCCATTACCTCTCAGTTCTTATTTGAGTTTATATATTTCAGTAAGTGATGATTTGAATTAAAAAATATCACCAAAAGGAAATGAAAAGGTTATATAAATGTCACTGCCTTGCTGCAATTTTACATGTTTCTGTTGAACTCTGAACATCTGTACTGGATTTTTACTGTGCAGAGAAGCACATCTATTTGTGAAGTTTTGTTCCTTGTAATAGCTTTTGAGAAGAGCCTTGAAAATGAGTGGAAAAGTCCTTTCAATCACAGATTTACACATATAATGTCCTCATTTTTCTTCCTTGTGTAGAACTCTTGGTTTTAATTGAAGGTGTTTATTGCCTTTTCTTTTCTTCATACTTGTCTATAAAAGAATTTAATTGCTTTTATGTGCATTTTCAGAAATCATGTTAGAATCCATACTGGTTTTCCTAAGCCATTTAATAGATTGTATTACAAAAATAAGATGTAGGCCTGGGATTTTATTGTTCTTATTGTTTCATAATAATGACACTGTTCATCATGAAAGCTATGTGTGAACTACCATTAATGTAGTATTTCAGATTATCATGGCAACACAGTTTGTGTAAATTTGTAATTCAGACTCGTCTATCTTTATTAGTTTTGGATGTCATACTGTGTTTTTGTTTTTTGTTGTGTTAGAGATACAGTCTCACTGCGTGACAATGAGCTACACTTGAACGCATAATCTTTCTTCCTCTTTTCCTTTATTTTTATTAACATTTCAATGTTTTTGGCTTTTATAAGAAAATGAATAATGTGGCTGTGGGAGAAATCCTAGAAAAATCACAAAGAATGATATCAATAATTCTGTCACCTAATAATGGGATTTTCTCATAATGCCTTATTTTTTTCCTTTCCTTTTTGTAGATAAAAATTTTAAAGTAAATACTGTGGGAATACAGAGAAAAGTCTGAAAATACAGAAAGGCAGAAGGGAAAGAATGAAATTATTCAATCCTATCGCCTAATGATTGCGTATATTTACTTTTATTTTCAGATATATTCTCCATATAACTACAGCAGGAAGTCTTCAGTTAAATGTATTAAAATAATTTACTATGCATTATTCTTCAAAATTACAAATTTTAATATTACATAATTTTGTATTTTGTTTGCATGTCAACTTATTTAACATTCCCTACTCAGATATTTAAGAAACTAGACCAGAACAAAACATCATATTTAAACAGACACATGTTTTTTTTCTACAATTGACTTGATAAGTCTTAAGTATTATACAGAAATGAGGGAAGAGGTAGGCAATATTTAGGCATTTAAGATAAAGAATAGTTAGGCATTTAAGATAGAATCTTCATTTTAGATCAACTTTCCCAAACAATCTTTTGTAAACACATGGTCCTAATCAATATGCTGTTAATTTAGTAGTATGGTAGAATAAGAAAACACACAGTCACCATGTTTAAAAATTTTCCTTAATAAAGGAAGAAAAATATAAGAATTACTTACCTGGAGATATGATATAGAAGAAATCTTTAAATTCATCCATCCAAACTTCTGCCAATCTCCTGTTATTCTTGTTAATCACATGACCAGTGCCTCCAGGAAAAGTATATGGAGTTGCCTTTCGAAAAACATGTCCAACATGGGAGCAAGTCACAATCTCCAAAGAGCCTCCACATTGCCAGATCTGGGTAGAAGAATAACCATTATTCAACTGTCATTAAAAGTAAGGCAATAGTAACAGCTGAAACTTCAGACAAATGCTTCAAGGAAACATTAGCTATATGAAAATTTAGGACGAGCATGTATATGTTTGGTCAAACAATACTATTTTATTTTATATAAGGGATGTAAACATCCACAGATTTTGGTATTCCATGAAAATATCCTCATGAAATCTGAACAATGACTGATATATATCTATATATCTATCTATATCTATCTATATATATATACCTGGCCCCCACCTCTCTACAAACAGAATTTTTGTATATTTACTACAATATTTTTAATAAAAGCTATTGTTATTGGTACTTGAAAAACTTAATTTAAAACTCTATCATTATTCTTATTTGATAGAATTGCTTTTTCTAAAAAAGCCTCCCATAAATATGTTAAATTTTCATATTTTTATGTGTTAGTCAAAATTTTTCAGAGAAAAAATATTTTCCAATTAATTCCCTTCAAGTAACGTGTAGGTTTGAAGTGTGCTGCTATTGGCCATTAATATCAATTTGTACCATGAGTTGAAATATAATAGTAGGTTACACCCATCCCATCAACAGTAACATATGCATCAAGTACAATCTGCTTTTTCATTTTCTAATTATTTAAGCATTATAATAGAAAAGTGAAGTAGAAAAGACATATTAAACACCAAAATATTAAAAAATGAATAGAATCTACCATCACTGCTCAAAAGACTGAACAGCTTTTAATAATAAGTGATTCACAGACTGGCAAGTTCTTCATTATTTTCTGGCATGAAATCTAGATGACATCATACAATTATATATTACTTTTTACATTCTCCCTTCATTAAAATGGAGAAAACCAATATTTTCTCACTAAAGACAAATCAATATTTTATATATTAGTATGGACTCCATCCTATCTAATTCCTTCAGGCCAAAATCTAAGTCATCCTCTTGCTTATTCCCTGAAACATCAGTCAGTCCAGTCTATTATTTTTGTACATATAATGCTTTCCAAAAAAGTCACCCATTCTTGAAAACCTGAAAATACAAATGAAATTTTATAAAAAGAATTCTCAATTAGACATCATTTAGTCCATAGTCACACCCAACACCTCATTTTACTTCATTATTAAATAAAACACATCTTACTAATAATACAGGCAGTTATTTCTCTTCTATTACCATTATTCACTTTTCTACCTTCTGAGAAATGCTGCTGCTTTTCTGTATAAAGTTTTCCTGCATAAATTACACACTTGGATGTTCCAGTTTTCCTTATCCTATTTTATTTTTAAGAATTTTTATTTCCCCCAATTTTTTTGCTGAATTTCTATTTAAATGTTTATCTCCATCACTGTGCTTTCTTACTTGTTCCTGTAACTGTAAATGGTATCTGAATGCTGACTACCTCCACCTTAGCATCCCAGACTAAACCTCTTCTCTGGCTCCCAGAGAGCTATAGTGACACATTTGTTTGAAACATTCACTTGCCTATGTCAGTTTGACCATGGAGGAGTTGTGTCATTATTTTTCATCTGTTAGGCAGGTCTTGTTTACTGTTCAGGAATTTTATTTTATTTTATTATTATTTTTTGTTGTTGGTCGTGGGATTTGAACTCTGGGCTTAGGCGCTGTCCTTGTGGTCTTCAGCTCAAGGCGAGCTCTCTACGGTTTGAGCCTCAGCGCCACTTCCAGTTTTCTAGTGGTTAATTGGAGTAAGAATCTCACGGACTTTTCATGCCCGGGCTGGCTTTGAACCACGATCCTCAGATCTCAGCCTCCTGAGTAGCTAGGATTATAGGCGTGAGCCACTGGCGCCCGGCTAGGAATTTAATTGTTAGTAAATTATGCTCACCATTCTCTCAGATGATCAATCATACACACACACACACACACACACACACACACACACACACACACACACACAAAACCAAGCTAGGTCTCATGGATTGTTATCTTTCATTATCACTGATATGTAATCCTGTAACAAATCCTAATAGTGTTACCTAGGAAATAATTTTCTGAGTGTTCATATAGTCAGAGTGCTGTGATAAAATAGCTTAAGTGAAATCGTGTAGTCTACCTAGAATATCCTTACATGATACAAACAGTGAAAGAGTTCTAGTGTTGCTATCTCATAGGAATTCCAGTCCTCTTGGATTAGAGTTCTATCACTGTGACCCCATTTTCTTTGAAATTCTTAACAGGCTCAATCTCTAGATATAGTCCAAATGGAGTGTTAGCAATTCAGCATATAAATTTGGGAAATGCAATTCACTCTATAGTTCCATCTCTCTGTTTCCAATGCCATCATCCCTGACCTAATCAACACTTCTTGTGTCAGTTACAAGAGTCTCTTGTAACACTGCCTTCCCTGTTCATCTCCCATGATTTATTTTGTGCTGAGAAATCTGAATAATATTTAAAAATTTTTCAATTTAAATTTTAAAAAATTTAAATCATTTTATTTACATGCTTAAATCCTTCAATGGTTTCTCAGTGAATTGTACATATAAACAAAATCCTTTTTCAGGTCCTCTAAAACCCTACTAAATATTTTCAAACCTCTGTCAATAGACATGGCAATATTAGTTCCTGCCAATTATTGCTTCTTGGATTAACATATTACATGCTTTGTCACACACAAGAGCCTCAGCACCTGCTTACTTTGAGTCTGCATTACAGTCATGTCATTGCTTTACCTTGGTTGCCTCTTTCTCATTCTCTCAGCTGAATCATAACCTCCACAGAAAGGGCACCTCTAATTTTCTTATTTAAAGTAACCCCACCCAGTGATTTTTCTCTAACAGCACCCTGTTTGGTTTCTTCATTGCTTATCACAATCTGTAATCTGGTTATTTGTATGCCTATGTACCTTGTTTTTTTAATTAGGATGTAAATGCAGGCTCCCACATTACTGGAGGAATGTCTGGTTATTTTTATACATCCTTCGAGCCAAGCCCAATACTGTATACATAGTAGATACATTGCATGACTGGACAAATGAGCAGTGTAAGATTAACTCTCAAGGTTAACATAGGGGAAGAATGGCAAGATTTAAAAATATATGTTGACAAGATCTTAAGTCACATATATCCTGTGCATGCACACATGCCAGCCCCCAGCACTTGGTGCTGGCCCTGAGCTTTTTTGCTCCCAGATGACACTCTACCACTGGAAATATAGCCCTACTTTTGGCTGTTGGGTGATTAATTGGAGACAATTGTCTTGCAAACTTTCCTGCTGGAGCTGACTTTGCATTGCAATTCCCAGATCTCAGTCTCCTTGGTTATCTAGGATTGAAGGCAGGAGCCACCTGTGGCCAGCTTTAAAGTTTTTTTTTAATATCAAATGAATACTTTTTCAATTTCTAGCACTTTTAGAGGTCTATTTTTTCTTCTTTGTCTCATTCAGATACACACACACACACACACACACACACACTTACAGAAAGAAATTGAAGGTTCATCGAAAATAAGATTATTGAGTAATATGATCTTTTAATGTGTTATCCAAAATAACTATTCATGTGACTCCACATTACCCTTTGTCTTTTTCTTCTGAGCTCTTCATCTCAAGGCTAGTGCTCTACCACTTGAGCCACAGCACCACTTCTGGTTTTCTGGTGTATTTATTGGAGATGAGAGTCTCATGGACTTTCCTGCTCTGGCTGGTTTTGAATCTTGATTCTCAGATCTCAGCCTCCTCAGTAGCTAGGATTACAGGTGTGAGCCACTAGTGCCCAGCCCTTTTTCTTTTTCTTAAAACCATGATTTAAGAAACTACTTAGACATTTGTACTGTGACCAGGCCTTTCCAAGCAGTGCTATAAATTCAGAAGAAATAACACACGTCCTTTTGTTATTATAGGGAATGCAGTACTATTGAAAGAAGGCTTTTCCTTTCCTCCTGTGAATTCCATTCTGTGCAGGACTTTCTTCTTCACAAGCTGGATAGCAGAGGTAAGTAAAGGAAAGAAGATTAGCATTTCTCTCCCAGGTGAATTCTAATTGATCAACAAGTAATCAAGCTACCCTAGTGCTACCACTAGATTGGGGTAGAATGTGTTCACACAATTCTGAAGAAAGCCTCATGAGAAGGGAAAGACATGTCCTTAATAAAATGAGGACAACTTCTAAATCTAGAAAATTGTGGTGGTGGGATTAGATTTTATTGTTCCAAAAGAATAGATAAGCTCAATGATTCATTCTAACTTCACTTGGCTTAAATGGTTTCCTTCCAGGTATCTGTGCTCATTCAAACATGCGTGCTACCTTTTTTTAAAAGGCAAAATTAAATGATCAAGCTAAGAATGCATAAGGGCTGATGTCTAGTCATAATACTAATAGGCTAATATAAAATATTTCATCAATCATTAGTTGAATAGATAGTTGCAATGTACTTAGTCTCTGGGAAATGTAACAAAGTTGAAAACAGTTCCTGGAAAATTGTATGATTAAATGTAACACACTGAAGGAAGTCAAAGTGATGTTTCTAGTGACTAACTTGATAATTTCCTTTAGTATACCTTCAGTAAGCATGTTAATGGGAGGTAGAAGAGGAAAAAAGAAAATACCTTATAATGGTAATTAAAAACTTGAACTATAAAGGTAGGGGTGGTGGTATACACTATAAACTCAGCTATGAAATAGGAGAAGATGGAGATGAGCATAGTGGGAGACCAGCACAGGCAAAAATATAAGACCCTAAATGTAACCTAAATAAACCAAATAGGGATGGTGGCAAGGCTTAGCTGGTAGCGTATCTATCCTCAAGTACATCTGATTGTCATCATCTAGGCTTCCAACAGATTTATGTATAGATTTCATCAATATGAAGTAAATTTGACCATGTATAAACTACAAACTGCTCTTTGATCCATAGAGAATTGAAGCGAGCAGGTTTCTTGTCTTTGTTCCCAGATATTTTTGTGAATCTTTTGATGAGGCAGAGTTGTTAATCAAAATGCAAAATGCCCATTGCTCATTTGA